AGAGGGGAGCGGGGCAGAGGGAGGGCCAGATACTAGTCCAGGGAGCAAGTGTCTCTCAGCCGGGCCCTCCCCCAGGATGACCCAGATCCCCGTCCCCTGGGGCTGGTACCCAGAGGGGATGATGGGCTTAGAGCCCCACCTTGCCCCTTCTGATGCTGCCCAATTAGGCCAGTGACATGGCATCCCAGCGCTGGTGGGGCAACTCCATGCCAGGGACCATGGCAGAAGGAGCTGGGACCCAGGCAGGCTGTCTGGGGGTCCCGCCTGGGGGTACACTATCAGGGACCAGGCCCCAGGGCTGGGCTGGAGCATCTCTGACACTGAGCAGCTTCCCAGCTCCAGCTGTGGCACTTCATGTCACCGTGTCACTGGAACTCCCCGTGCCTCCCTGCCTACAGCAGACTCACCTGGGTAGGGGCCCAGTCCCTGCCTCAGCCGCGCTCCCTCTAGTCTACAGGCCCTGCTCTGAGAGCCAGGCTCTGTGCCATACCCCTGCCTCTCCCCCTACCCCCACCCCCAGCTGCTCGTGCACAGGGAGTCCTGTTTGGAGGGAGAAGACTGGCGATGGTTGGGAAGAGAGGGTGGGCAGGGCCTGGGGCAGGCTGGGGTGGTCCTTTCCCCAGGCCGAGGGCTGGGCACTGACTAGGCATCTGGTTGGGTGGGCACTCAAGTCCTGGGGCCTGCCCAGCCTCCTCCCCAGCCTCCTGCCCAGCCTCCTCCCCAGCCTCCAGTCCAGCCTCTTCCCCAGCCTCCAGCCCAGCCTCCTCCCCAGCCTCCAGTCCAGCCTCCTCCCCAGCATCCTGCCCAGCCTCCTCCCCAGCCTCCAGTCCAGCCTCCTCCCCAGCATCCTGCCCAGCCTCCTCCCCAGCCTCCTGCCCAGCATCCTCCTCAGCCTCCAGTCCAGCCTCCTCCCCAGCCTCCAGCCCAGTGTCCTCCCCAGCCTCCTCTCAGAAGTGCCTCTGTCTTGTCTCCAAGCATTGAGGAGGAGCTTCAACCAGCAGAGCCGGGCTGGAGGGCTCCGGGCTAGGCCCCCCTGCTCCAGGTGCCCCTGACCTGCAGACCAGAGAGGCCTTGGATTCGCACCCAGGACGGGTCCCCAGCCTCTGCCAGCACCAGCCCTGGGTTTGACCCACTCCAGTCCACACCCACACGGACCTGCCAGTCCACCCCCACCCCCACCCCGCTCCTGACAGAGGTCTGTCTTGGGGACATGTGGTGTGGGCGGCAGAGTCTTGCCTGGGGGTCGGCAGGCCAGGAGGGTGCACCTGGTCCCACCCCCCTTCCTGGAGGGGTGGGATCGGGCAAGTCCTGCCCTCTCTGAGCCCTACCTTCCTCTTTGCAGACTTGGGTGCCCCGCCCCCACTAGCAGGGTGAAGAGAAAACCAAGGAACAATGGGTGGACAGCCCTCAGCGTATGCCTGGTATCCAGTAGGTGCTCACTAAATGCTGTGCTGGTGGTGGTGGTGCTCCTCTGACTGATCTCTCTGCCTCTCTGTGCCTCAGTTTCCCCATCGGTACCACCAGGGGGGCTGGACCAGATATCATGGAGGTCTTTCCAGAGCACGTGTGGGTTGTTTTTCAAAAGTAGCTGAATTTTGTACTTATGCTGAGGTGAAATGGCCCCGTCTTGACGTCCTCCACAGAAGCACAGCCTGTTCAAGCAGATTGTAAGAAACACAAATGCACAAAAGAAACAAGGAAATGCAGGGAAACCCGGACATTCAGGGGGATTGCTGGAGCCCACTCTGCTCAATCCGTGCAAATGGATTTGAAAAACCAGGACAAAACGGACCATTTCCTAGAAAAATGTAATTTGACCAAAACTTCGCTAAAAATACAGAAATCTAAGCGTATGGGGACCAGGGAGGAAAGCTACCCCGCCGTCTACCACAGTACCAGTCAGGAGCGAAATTCTGCCAAGTTCTACAAACCTATGGAGAAGAGATCTTTCCTGAGCTGTTTAAACAGCTTAAATACTGGGGATGGGGTGGGAGGGAGAAAAAGGAAGAAAAAAGAGCTTCCAATTTTTTTTTGTTTTTAATGAAGACAGCATGACATTAATATCAAAACCCAACAAAAATCACACATACAAAAAATGAGAACTACAGACTAATTTCACTTTTGAAAATCAGTGCAGAAAACCCTAGGAAACCATTAGCTAACAGAACACAACCAAAATCTAACCTGTTACCATCGAGTTGACCCTATAGGACACAGTGGAACTGCCCCACAGGGTTTCCAAGGAGCAGCTGGTGGTTTTGAACTGCCAACCTTTTGGTTAGCAGCCAAATGCTTAACCACTGCACCACCAGGGCCCCAGCAGCCTGTGAAATGACAAAGATACCCCCTTCTCCACCCTCTCTGAGCCCTGGGAGGTGGGACTCAGGCCTGCGTTTCAGCTCCCTGTTCTCCAACTCCCACAAGCCAGCCAGTGGGGGGCACAGGCCAAGAGCGGGGAGAGGGGGGCCAGACTCCGACCCACCTGCCTGTGGGCTGCCACCTCCCTCAGTCAGGGGCGACCTGTCACTGCCCTGGGGCTGGTAGTGGTGGCCTTGGGGGTGCACTCTCCCCTAACCCCTGCTCACACCTCTCTAAATGGTCCTTTTATTAAAGTCTCCTCAAATTACCTGATTTGAATCCACCATCTGTTCACCGTTTGAACTCTGAATTACACAAGAACACTTCATCCCAGAAGACCCCAGAAGAAAGTCAAATATGCCTCTCCGTAGATGCCCAAATGGCATTTAACAAAATTTTACCCAAATTTTTTTTAAAAAAAATAGCGTAATTAGTGGTGATGGTTGAACAACTTGACGGACATAATTAATGTCACGGAAATGTACACGTGAAGACTGTAGAAATGGCAAACGTTTTGTCACCTATATATTTACCATAATAAAAGAGCAAACAAACCAAAGAATTACTAGGAATGAGATAGTTAAAAATACAGGCTGAAGCAAGAGTGCTGCGCTGGCAACACTTAATGCAAGAAGTGGAGTTGCTGTTGATTCTTTGATTTTTCTGAATGCTGAACATGTTTTGGTAAAATTATGAACAAAATAAAGAACAATTATATTCCTGAAAAATTCAGTATTTTTTAAAACCATATAGAAAATGTGTTGCATTTAGCTACCAAATGGAGTTAAATTCTGGGCTCAGATACTTATAAACAAGTATTTTTTTTTTAACAACAAAAAAAAAAAACATAACTAAGTATGACTGGATAATACTTCCTTAACTTAATACAATATATCTATTTGAACACCAAAATAGCATCTTGTTTAGTCTGAAAATACTAGAAGCATAACTATTAAAGTTATGTCCCTGGTACCCAGTAGGCACTCAATAAATGCATACTAATTAAAATTATGCTTTTAGAGGTACTGGCCAATGCAATTAGACAAGAGAAAGAAATAAAAGTTAGATTAGAAAAAGAAGAGACAAAATTATCATTATTTACAAACGATTTGATTAAATACCTAAAAAAATGAAAGGTTTCAAACAATAAGGGAATCTCTTACAATGCTGGGAACAAAATTAACACACTCATTCCTCACAATCCTCACTAATCGACATGGTTTGTTTCCGAAGACAAGATTGTTATATGAAAACTGGCTTTATGTGAAAATGGAGGATGACCACATCAGATCACAAAATGGAGGATAACTATATCATTAGCAGCACATCGACAGGGAACTGCCAGAAATTCAAGCCAGATTCAGAGAGGACATGAAACGAGGGATGTCATTGCTGATGGCAGGTGGATCAGGGCTGAAAGCAGAGAATACCAGAAGGATGTTTACTTGTATTTTATTGACTATGCAAAGGCATTCGACTGTGGATCATAACAAATTATGGATAACACTGAGAATGGGAATTCCAGAACACTTAATTGTACTCATGAGGAACCTGTACTTAGACCAAGAGGGAGTTGTTCAAACAGAACAAGGGGATATTGTGTGGTTTAAAGTCAGGAAAGGTGTGCATCAGGGTTGTATCCTTTCACCATATTTATTCAATCTGTAGTCTCAGCAAATAATCCCAGAAACTGGACTATAAGAAGAAGAACAGGGCATTAAGATTGGAGGAAGACTCATTAACAACCTGTGATATGCAGATGACACAACGTTGCTTACTGGAAGTGAAGAGGACTTGAAGCACTTATTGATGAAGATCAAAGTCCACAGCCTTCAGTATGGATTACACCTCAACATAAGGAGAACAGAAATCCTCACAACTGGACCAATAAGCAACATCATGATAAACAGAGAAAAGATTGACGCTGTCAAGGATTTCATTTTAGTTGAATCCACAATCAACGTCCATGGAACCAGCAGTCAAGAAATCAAACGACGCAATACATTGGGCAAATCTGCTGCAAGTGATCTCTTTAAAGTGTTAGAAAGCAACGATGTCATTTTAAGGACTAAGGTGCGCTCGACCCAAGCCATGGTGGTTTCCATCACCTCATATCCATGTGAAAGCTGGACAATGACTAAAGAAGACTGATGAAGAATCGACGCCTTTGAATTGTGGTGTTGGTAAAGAATATTGAATATACCATGGCCTGCCAAAAGAACAAACAAGTCTGTCTTGGAAGAGGTACAACTAGAATGCTGATTAGAAGCAAGGATGGCAAGACTTCATCTCACATACTTTGGACATGTTATTGGGAGGGACCCGTCCCTGCGGAATAACATCATGCTTGGTAAAGCAGAGGGTCATCAAAAAAAGAGGAAGACCCTCAACAAGATGGATTGACACAGTGGCTGCAACAATTGGCTCAAGCATAACAACGATTGTGAGGACAGCGCAGGACCGGGCAGCATTTTCGTTCAGTTGTACGTAAGTCACTATGAGTCGCAATCGACAGCGACAGCACCTAACAACAACAACATATCATTACATAATTGCCAAATCACATCATCACATAACTGCCAAATCACATCATTACATAACTGCCCAACCACTGAGAATCATGGCCTAGCCAAGCTGACCCATAACCTTAACCATCACAGCCAGTGCTACTCTTGCCTGGCACCTCAGCGTTTGTTATTGCCAGATGTACATTGTTAATGCACAAAATAGTTGAATAGTAGATTTTTTACTATTGTCATAAATGTGAAATGTCAGATAATGAGATAGCAAGTGAGGAGTAGGTATACAGGAAGTTCAATACCCTTTATATATAAAAACATCAACCAGTTAGGTGATATATGGAAGACCCTATGTATGATTGCAACCAAAAATATAAAATATTTAGAAATTACTGTATATTTATGCAAATAATGCTCACCGTCTGTGTTTGTTTGCTGGCCATGCCCTACCCCCATGAGACACCCTCACAGGTGCCACCATGCCGATGTTCTTCCACAGGTTTCTGTAAAAAGAATTAGCATAGCGTGCTTACGAAAATACCCACATGAGGTACAACGTGGCCAGCAAACAAATGCAGAAGGTGCGTGGTATTTGCATAAAAATACAGTAACTCTACAAAAAGTATGCCAGATATTAAGAAAGCTTTCAAATGCTACTGAGGGCCGGAAAAGATTTGAACAAATGGAAAGGCCTAATATTTTTTATATAAAGACTCAGTATCATAACGATATCCGGTATCTTTAATATATCTATAAATATAATGAAATTCCACCTTAAAAATTAATGGGACATTATTTTAATTAACAAACCTAATTCTAAGGTTTATGTAGGAAACTAAACAATCAAGAACAACCAAGAATGTTCTGAAAAGAACAGCTATGTTTCAACAAGGATTAGGTTGGGTTGCATATAACAGAGACCCAACTGCAGAAGCTTAGGCAAGATGAGTGTTTATTTCTTTTTCCTGTAAAAGAAGCTCCAAGTGAGGCAGGCAGCCCTGGGGTGATGTGGCAGCTCCCTGATGTCTCTGTCCTTCCCTACTTGTGTGTGGCTTCCATTCCAAATTTTCCCAGTAGCTCGAGATGGCTGCTGGAGTTCCAGTCATCACCTCCACATTCCAGGCAGCTGGAAGAAGGAAGAAGAAGGAAAAAGCACTCACATTGTCCTTTATAAAGTCCATGGAAGCCCCACACCACATGTCCACCTACCTGTCACTGGCCAGAACCTAGTCCCATGGCCACACCTTTCCACACTGGAGTCTGGGAAACGCGAAGCTGGGTGTTTTGCTGCCACAAATAAAATCAGGTTGCAAAAGAGGAAGGAAGGAGGTCGTGGATGTTGGGGTGGGCTCCCACAGTCTCTGCCCAAGTGAGGAGGGGGGACTGGTCCCACCTGATATTAAAACATGTTAGAAAAGAATGATAATTAAAACAAAATGACACTGGTACAAGAATAGATAGAATAGAGCCCAGAAACAGACACAAATTCATAAGGGAATTTAGCATGTGACAAAAAGGGAATCAATGGGGAGAAGATGGATTATTCAAAAAATGGTGCTGGGAAACTAGGTAGCCATCTGGAAAAAATAAAGTCGAATCTATATCTCCTAAAATAAATTCCGGAAGGATCAAAGATTTCAGTGTAAAAAACAAAACCATAAAGAATAGAAAAAGACCATAGATGAAAGATTTTTTTTTAAACTTGAGGTGAGGAAGACCTTTCTAAGAGTGTCACAAAATGCAAAAACTAAATACAAAAAACCCCTGTTTTTATAAATTCAGCTACATAAAATAAAAGTTCTACATAGCAAAAACCACCTTAAGAAAAGTCAAAAGACAAACAGCAAACTGGGGAAAACATTTGCAAATTGTGTCACACAGACTAATTTCGCTCATATATAAAGAGCTCCTATGAATCAATGAAAAGATGAACAATCCAGCAGGGGAAAAGTGAAAAAGCAGAGATATGTACAGAGTTCACATGAAAGTATAAACAAATGGCTCATACACATATCAAGAGATTCCTCTACTCACGGGAGAAGAATGTAAATTAAAACTGCACTGATAATTAAGAACTATCTCTGTGGGATCAAATTGGAACCTTAGAGGAAGTAAGTTTATGTCAATGAGGGAGGAACAACTCAGAAAAGGAGGGTGAGAATGTTTGCACAACTTGAAGAATGTCATCAATGTCACTAAATTGTCATGTAGAAGAACTGTTGAATTGATGTATATTTTGCTGTGTATATTCTCAGCAACAACAACAAAACGAATAAAATTTGGAAGAGAAAAACCTGCGCGGATGACATTTTTACCTATCAGATGGGTACTGTGTTTGATTCACATTGTTGGCAGGACTGTGTGGAGCCGGGGATTCACAACCTCTGTGGAGGGCAATTTGGCAAAATCTCTCAGAATCACGAACGCGGTCCTACTTATAGGAAGGCATCCAACCAGCCGTGACACTGGGCAGGAGGTCATGGCAGCAACGTCCTGAGAGCATTAGAAAAAGGCTAAATGCCCTTCAGTGGACTGTACAACCACACTCAGGAATATTCCACGGACAAAGAAAAGAGCGAGCAGGCTTTCGAGTGTGCTGTGGGGCCGTCTCTATGACTAGAAGTCCATCGTGTGGAACCATGGAGGGGAGGGGTGGGGTCGGGGGAGACCTGTTGTGTTGCTCTCTTGCAGGGAAGGATGCCCAGGAAGCCAGCCCCAGGCCGTCCTCAGGGAGGGAGCTAGGAGCTGGGGATGGGGACCACAGAGAAGCCTTTCTTGGGGGCGTTCGTGACCTTTGAACCATGTGAATGTATTTCCATTCAGACACAAGGAAGGAAAGTATAACTGAACCCCCAGGACAGGGGGAAGGACAACGGGGCAGGAGAGTGGGACGAGGCAGGGGTTGCTTATTCATCATCAAATACCACCACTGCAATGGGCCCCTACGCTCAGCCCCGGCCCAGGCGCTCAGCCCCAGCCCCAGTGCTCAGCCCCAGCCCAGGCACTCAGCCCCAGCCCCAGTGCTTAGCCCCAGGCCAGGCGCTCAGCCCCAGCCCCAGCCCGAGCCCCAGCCCAGGCGCTCAGCCCCAGCCCCAGTGCTCAGCCCCAGGCCAGGCGCTCAGCCCCAGCCCCAGCCCGAGCCCCAGCCCAGGCGCTCAGCCCCAGCCCCAGTGCTTAGCCCCAGCTCCAGTGCTCAGCCTCAGCCCAGGCGCTCAGCCCCAGCCCCAGTGCTCAGCCCCAGCCCCAGCCC